CTGCTACTGCCACTGCTACTAGTTCTACTACTGCTGCTACTACTACTAATACTAGTACTAGTACTAGTACTAGTACTAGTACTACTACTAAGTACTACTACTACTACTACTACTACTACTAGTACTAGTACTACTGCTAGTGCTAGTGCTAGTGCTAGTGCTAGTGCTACTGCTACTGCTACTGCTACTACTACTACTACTACTGCTACTACTACTACTACTACTACGCCTACTACTACGCCTACTACTACTACTACGACGACGACGACGACACCAACGGACGACGACGACGACGACTCACAACAACTACAACTGCGACTGCAACAACTCATATTTTTATTACTACTCCTACTCATGCTGCTGCAATTGACTTACTTGTTATTTGCCTTTACTGGTCACTCTTACTGCCGGTCTTCTGCATGTTCATCACAAGGAGGCGCCTGAAGCTCCTCCCTGCTCACCCAGTAGATGCAATCCACTGGGCAAGAGGTCACTGCATAGTCCAGGTACTCCTCGTTGGGGTTCACGGCATTTTGAAGTCAAGCAAGAATTCAGATGGCGGTGAGATCTGGACGAGGAGTCACCGGGCAGACATCTTCAGGGCACGAAGCTCCCGGTTGCGAAACAAGTAATCAGATGATGCGCATTACACCACTGCTGCGCGGGACATCCCTGAGCATTCAACTACTTGAACCCTACAGACGAGATTTTGCCAATTACGGCGGCCACCGACTTCACAGCTCAATACTCTCACAATGCCGACACCTCTGAACTCTTGTCCGATTGTGGCGACGATTAGCGTGGCCGAGCCTATGCACGGCGTGGCATCATGCGAGGTGCAACCGCCCCCCCGCCCTGCTGCATGACTGACCCCAACTCCACATCGGATTTTCAACTCTTCCTCTGCCATGCAATTTCTGGGTCCGAGTGTCTGCGATGGTCTGCTGAGCTAGTTATCCCTAAGGGTGATGTCCCCCTGTCCAGAGTCCCCAATTTCAGCATGGAGAAAACCGGATGCTTGTTCGTGGTATCAGAATGACAAGAATAACGTCAGCCCTTGCAGCTGATCCCAGAACAAATGCTGCAAAACAGCTGTCGCAATGCAATCAGAGCTAGAACCGTCAGCCACCACCTGCGTCATGATATGTCATGATGCTGCTAGCAAGACATACTTCAAGGCATGACAACGAGCATCAGCTACTTCATCACTACTAAGATCTCCTCATGGTCTTGTTCGTTTTTCCATCAGCATCGTTGCTACTCACATCATCGCCACCAACACAGCGGCAACCACCCTGACCAAATAGCATTCTCTGAGAGGTGCATCATCACTAGCTGCGTAATCACCATCATGATCATCCTGGTTCATGTCCAGCATGGTTGGCAGCAGCATCTCAGGCACAGATTAAGAGCGATGACCACATAGACATGGACTGCCCGCCCCCTCCCCCCCACCCCTTCGTGTCCTCCGAGTTGCCCCACTGCATGTAGACGTTGGCTCGGCCTTCCATGACCCTACTGCTTCTTGACACTGCGAGCTACACTCAGACTTCTTCTCGCCAGTTCCAATATTGCTTGTTCACCTGAAACTCTCCCTTAATCCTTGGCGATTCTGCGCGGATGCTAGCTGCTAGGTGTGATGTACACTGTCCTATGAAATTCTCATATCAGGCTGCCAGCCCAGAGGAACGACAGAATTGCTGAACGTATTAGCAGTATTAGCAGATGTGCAGGTGTCATGCCAAGAGGCCTCATCTGCATTAGGTTCGCAAATCATGCACTTGTGGCTTACCCTTCTGTTGCACGCGCCATCTAATCACTATGACTTTGATACCGTTATCACCATCATCACCAACATCACGGTAATGCCCGTAGTGTTAGCTCCTTGACATGAAAACCCCGCCGTCCAAAGTAACATGAATATAACCCTAGGTATGAAGAAGCCAAATAGTCTGGAAGAAATGAGCGAACCGCTTTCAAAGAGCGGAATGCGGCCAAGACTGATGCAGAAGAAGCAAAAGACTGGCGATACAGAACCGATTGCCAAGGCGCCGTTGTCATTCTGAATGCAGAATGACTGTGGGGCGATGTCACAGCCTGGTGGCCAGCACTGTAAACATGCGGCCAGTACGATAGGTGACGGGGACAGCGACAGCTGCGAATTCGGCTCAAATACATGCAGCTAAGTTAAGCAAAGTGGGATATGTTTTTTAAAGGCACTTCACAATCCCGAGCCTGAGAAAAACCTTGAAGCGTACAGAGCAGCTGCAGTACTGTATGGGCTTTGTTTCCACTCCAGGCTCCACAACCCTGCCTGTCCGAGATCGCGAGAAGTGATCGAGCAACAGGCTTGTGGGTGCTCAGCTTGTGGTAAAGCAAAAAGGCTTCTGCTCAAATTTGACTGTCTGCGTGGTTGGGATGTGACACGCGGGGTCAGATCATAGTGCGAAGGGTTCAGCTTCGACACTGCTGGAACTCCAAGGGTTCTTCGAAACCCAAACCCCGTGCACGCAAAGACCTGAGTCTATCATGAATTTTGAAACCGTGCTTGAACAACTACCCTCAGGGGTTGATCTGGAGTTGATCATGCTCGCGATTAATTATTGTCATTGTCGTAAATCCTCCTTGAAATTATTATTATTATTTGTCATTCTGTCTTGGGGATGCGGTCAAAGTTGCAGTTCCGGCAGCAGATACAAGACCACTCATCGACGAAGAGCATCCTGGGCTTCATTCTTCTCAGGATTATTAGCATCGGTAGCGCTATTACCGTTCGTATGACCAAGATTATTAATGTTGGTGGTCTACTGTGTACTCCTTGCACTGTAGCATACTACAGCTTGCGGGCCTTCCTCTCTTGCTCCCAGCAACAATAATTATCGCTAACATTACTGGTTCGGCTTACGGTTACCGTTTCGTCGAACTAGAGCTGGAATGGCGATGATGATGACAGCAGCAAGAATAGCACTCTGGAATTTGCCGGGTCTCTTTTCATCCAGATGCTTCTCTCCACGATCTTCGGGTTGCACCTGGAAACACAAGGCCATGGCCAAGGTCCACTACATGCTCTCCTTCTGTTCTCGGTCCCCACATATCCCCACCTTCGCCCACTTCGAGTGGGACAGCGGTACCCTGGGCAGCGGGGCGGTATGCCGATGAGGGATGGGAGAAGACAAGTCATGCTGTCCAAGTCTCCCGGTGTAATCCGAGTGGTGCTTCCTGAGCATAGGCAGCAGCTCACAACCCCCTCTCCGCTAAACCCCAGATCCGCGAGAAGGGCAAAACCCGAGCGCCGACCGAGGATCAGCGTCTTTCGCTTTCCTTTCCATGTCGGCGACAAATCTTTGGAGACCTCCTGCATCTTGGCCAGGTACGCCGGCTTGGCCAGCCTCTGCTTTGGTGCAGGCGCTCTATGAACAAGGACATTCAGTTCCACTTTCTTGGAGTCCAAATCGACATCTCGCACTGGTATGCACCATCCTACTAGTACCAGCAGTGACTTTAGGTCCGGACCTTCAGAGGTTGAGCCGAGTTGGCATGCGTGGCTGGAGCCCAGCGGGCAGCCAAGCAAGTCCAGCAATGGGTGATAAGAGAAAATAAGTATGGTCAGCTTGAGTTAGCTCCCTGTCGGGGCACTGCTGGCCAGCTTCTGGGAGGAAAACTACATTTGAGGGCATCCGGCTGAGACTGCAAGCTCCGATCCCGCCAGCTTGCCTGCTCTGGCAATGTGATACGACTTGGTGCCAGCCATGTCATGCAGATGAGCAACTGGATTTGAGCATCGTAGTCCTTGCGCTTGTCCTCGTCTGAGAGCAAATCCCAGGCATCGTTGAGCAGTATGCACATCTCCTGTCCCGGAGCGCGAAGATTGCGTAAGTAGCTAAACCTGGAATCCTGCTCGACTCAGTCGTCCCTTCTGTCCTCCCCCTCGGGTCCGGCGACGTCCGGGTGGCACAACCTCGCGGCTCACGCGCCCAGCGGTGCGGAGCGGAGCGGTGCGATGCGGAGCGGTCCCTGATAGGAGATGATCCCCTCGGGTCCGGGCTTCTGCAAGTCATAGTACTTCCTGACAGCAAGGATATGCAGTTTATATAACAACTTCGCGTATGTCTCATCTCACTCAGACTCAGTGCGGTCAAGGTGCTTCTTGATCTCCTTCTCATCAGCCCTGTTCGTTGTCCCGAAAAGCTCCTGAGATTCAGAGGATTAAACGGTTTCATGCCCTTCATCGCCCAACGAGGACCGCACGTACAGGTCCACCGGAGCACTAGTCGCAAGGCCCACCTGCGCGGCATCATTCTCAGCAGCACTCAAGAGCCCTATCTTTGCAGAGGAGGCATCTCCAGCCTCGCTCTCCGGCGGAATGGGGACCTTGGTGGAGCCAAGATCCCAATCTTCGGGCAGATTGAGTGTTCGACGTACGATGCCTTGCTGGTTAAGATTCCTCTTCTTATGCGGCCACGCAACGTCACGCTGGACATCCTGCTGCCGCCTTTCGCAGCTTACCTCTCGGCGGTTACCCCACCTGCCACTGTCCAACACCTACGATATCCTACGATCTCCCAGGCAAGAGGCCAAAGCCCGTGCCTAGAACCGGCGAAGAGGGAGCCGGCCCCAACGGTTGCACTGGCTGTGACCGCGGCGACCCCGGCGAGGAAGAGCTGGGGCGCCTGAGTTTCCAAACAGCCTTTATCTTGCAAGCATGTGTGCGTAATCCGCGCAGATGCACAGAAGTAGATGCACGGATAGACTTAATCACTCGCACACCTTCTCAGAGCCAGCCAGCAGACATACCATACCGTTACCTGGCCTTGCTTGTATATGCATAGTCAAGGACTTGCCTCGATAAGGTGTTGGGAGAGCGTGTGAAGCTTCATGGAGAGTTAGATAGAGTTAGATAGCCACCACCACCCCCACGAAACCGCTGCATCAAGCATCAGCAAGAAATATCAGTAGAGTTTTATAAACTCGAGAACATCGTAGAACCTCGTGTAACCTCGCATCGCACGGCAGGCGGCCGAGCCGGAGCTGCTGGTGCCAGGCCCGGCAAAAGCCGGGGGCGGTCCTGCGGGGATCCTGCGCTGCGGGCACGTGGATTGACGACTCCGAAGGCTTAGGAGAAGCTTGGTTAACAACTCCGAAAGGACCTTCAGAGCTGCAACTTCAGGGCCTAACAGCTCCAGTGCCTAGAACAAAGGCCGGCCGGACTGCTGCCGCAATAGAAGATAGGGACATGGATGGACATGGTTTCTGCATGTTCCTGCTGGGCACAACGACTTAAACACCCCTAAACCCTACCATGACCAAGGCCGATGTGCACTAGGTTTTCCCCATTGCAGCCGAGGCTGGCATAAATGAAAACAATTGGGAAGTTGCTTGGGAAGACAGCTTCCGGTTTAGCCGAAATTTATGTTCTAGGTGTTGTTGGCATTTGCTCAGTGCGCTGACAGGGAGTTGTGACACACAGACACACACTTTATGCCTCGCAAGCTCTGAATCTGAAGTCTCTTCCAGAAAACATGCAGGAGTCCTCTGCAGGGAGATGAGGGCCTCGCCGGTCAGTTGCAGCAGAAGTGGCTTTGGGTTTGTGGTTTTGCAATGGGCCCAGCACTTGTTTCTGCTCTACGCGTGTGAGTGTGATTTGCTGATTGAGACTTACAGAAATATGAACATGTATGCATGTATGCACGCATGTAGCTTGCACGTACGCGTATACATACATGCATACATGCATACATACATACATACATACATACATACATATATATATATATATATTAATCGATATAGTTAAATGTAGAGACATACACACATACAGACACAAACACTCACCTGCATGCATAGCCAGCCATCCACGCACGCATGCATGCATGCATGCATGCATGCATGCATGCATGCATGCATGCATGCCAGCACACGCAGATACTTGCCTAGATACTGTACATCCACAAAAAAAGAACCAGCAAGTAAGTAGATAACTCAACATGTCTGTGCGCATGTGGGTCTGTGCTTTTAACCTTTATTGCACAAGTATATATATATATTATATAATATATATATATATTATATAATATATATATATTATATATATATGTGTGTGTGTGTGTTTTGGTACATAACATGCATGCATGCGTGTATGCACGTATGTATGCATGTATGTATGTAGGTCTGTATGTCTGTCTGCCTGCCTGGCCGTCTGTCTGTCTATGTATGCATGTATGTATGTATGCATGCATGCATGTAAGTCTATCTGTCTGTCTGCATGTTCAACAGCGCGCATGCATAAACGGCATGCATGCACACTTACAAACCTACGGATTTCGACAGACATGCACATATATCATAAACTTGCACACTTGCATTTCATCTACATCGCCGGCCTGTGTGGGGCTGCGAAGTGATGCCCGGATCGCCAAAGCTGCCACTGTCGCACAGAGAATAGCGCCTCGAGTGAGTCGAAAGAACCCCACAAGTAACGGCGCTTCGGCCAACAATGGCTTTAATTTGGCCAAAGGCGTCAACTACAGAAATATCTAGAAACGCATGTCATGAAGCTGTAAGTCCTCGCGACTCAAGCATGCTCAACCCGAGGTTGGACGTGAGACACGACTCTCAGATTGCCAGGAGGCTCTGTGGTTTCCAGCGTCGCGAAAGCGGAGCCATAGCTTACCAATGGAAAAAGGCTGGCGTTCTTCGCCCTGGGAGACGTTCTGGCGCCTCCTGCCCTTACTCGACCGCGGTGTCTCTGCAGGCCCAGTACATGATGGCTCGGCTGTACGTAATCGCCGGTTGCCAGTTAATCTACTGCTGTCTTGAGTGCAATACAGCATGGCTGTCATTGCTGTCATGAGATCTCTTGGAATTGAAGGTACATTTGGCTGCATCAACGGAATCGCGGCACGAATCGAAGAACGCACACTTCCCAGGGAAGGTGTGTGAGTCCATGATACATCGTGATACCACTGGGCAACCCAAGGTCCTGAAAACAAGAACCCATCTTGCTCACTCGCAACAGCAACAGCTCTCTCTGTCTGGGGAGGCAGCATTTGCGGCTGAAAGGTCTGCGGAGTGACATACGAGACGACGCACCTAGGGGGCACAGGTGACATTAAACCGGTTCACAAGTCACAGGCACATGCTCGAGGCTTCTGCCTCGTTTACGTCACAGTGCACTCCACGGCGAACTTCGGTCAGGAGTCCCGCAGTAGTGATGACCACCTCGGTCACAGGCCAAGTGAGCAAGACGAGGACTCCACACCACTCCTCAATGTGAACGAAGTAACCGAGGCTTCTCATGACAGCCCGCAGCTGCAAAAGTTCATGCAGCATCGCAGTGATGCCCCATACTGGCTTCAGCCGCTTCTAAGCCACACTCGGACGAGCAGTCGTCTGCTGCCAGCCGGCGTCTTCATCGTTGAGCTGCTTGGTGACTTTCCAAAGACTCTCTGCCTGCTGAACATGTCCACAACATGCCCGCTCTTGCACGGATTGCTGCACGAAGGCTGACATGATCATGAGAGACTGCCTGAACCTGTCGCTTCCCTTTCCAGTCCCTGGACGAGACCAGGAAGGAAGCACTGGCCACCCCGGAGGCATCCATGTCGTCGTCCTGGAAGGATGTAGAGGAGCTTGCGGCAACTCACATGAATGTTTACGGCTTGCAGCAATGATTAAACCTAGAATCCTGTTTCTCTTCGGGAACTGGCCCCCACCCGAGGCCTGCACCCTGCAGTGTCCCAAGCCGTCACAGCGGCGGTTTCCTGTCCCTGTGGCCTCCTCCAGGCTTGGACAGGTCGAAGAGGGGTTCACCTCGACCGTCTACAAAAAGGGTTCTATAGAGTGGTTTAGTGTTTAGGGAAACGGTATCCATAAGGGCTCCACAGGGTTTGGGAATTTGAGTAGAGTAAGCAGAGGTGAGAAGCAAGCGGCAATCATGCAGAGATCTTGAATGCAGGGTCTCAGCGTGGGACAGCCGGGAAGTTCGGGGGCAGGCTGATCACTCGGCACCTGGAGATGCTGTGAGGGTTACGGACTTAGGGTCTAGAGTAAACCGAGCTCCACAAATACTTGCCTCAACAGCCGCCGGATCAGGAGACAATACGACTGCGAAGCCATTAAAACTTGATTAGGGCGTCCTCCTCCTGCTGCTGCTCCTGTTCCTACTCCTCCTACTCCTCCTACTCCCCCTCCTCCTCCTACTCCTCCTCCTCCTCCTACTACTACTACTACTGCTGCTACTACTGCTACTACTCCTATTCCTACTCCTGCTGCGACTACGACTACCACTACCACTAAGACTACGTACCTGCACCCCTGCCCCTACCCCCCTACCCCTACCACCACCGCTACGGCTACCGCTACCGCTGCTGCTGCTTCTCATAGTGGTCATTGGTCATCCTATCGCTGTCGCTGTTGTCGCTGTCCTTGTCGCTGTTGTTTGTCCCCTCCTCTGATTGTATGATTCAACTTGTCGTTTCTGTTGATGCTGGTTTTGACGCGGTTGTCCCTATTCCCGTTTAGGGCAATGGCAGTTCCTGCTGTGGGATTCGTCCTTACCATCTTCATCATCGACGATATCTCTGCATCCCTGCTGGGGCCGGGGCCTTTCCCAGCGGCATGGCGGACCATGAACGTCAGAGACCTGGCGCGCGCCCAGTGGCTTAGGAGTCAGAGCCAAGAAATTTGGGTCTCCGGCGACTGGTGCCCAAGCCTCGCAGAAGGGTTTTTGACTGCTTCTTTGTGGCTCGAGTTTGAGACGCCGACCAGATCGTTGACCTGCGATCCCAAAGCTCTCGCAGAAAGAAAAAATACTCGCTGCCAATTCTTGGCCGTGCCTGGATGTCGCACCCAGGCCGCACACCCACCAGGATGCTGTGCACAAGGTCGGAAACGAGCTGCAGCAAGGCCTCATTCAAGGAGTGAAGAGTTCTGACGATCGACGAACACGCAATCAAACAAGAGGAATGGAACAGCAGGCAACAATCAAGGCAAAACGGGCTGACGAAGAAGTGACACTCGGCTGCTTGCACGAAGTGCTGCGCTCTGCTGCGGATCTGGATGCAACCTCGATCTTAGTCTGTTGCTCCTTGCCTCGCTTTGGGCGCTGCTTCTCTGCAGATCTCAGGAGAGGACACTGTGCCCGCGCTTGCTAGCCTCCCGCGACCTCGCCCGCTGGCCTGGAGAGCTTCCCGCAACAAAAAAAAAATATATATATATATATGTATATACATAGATTATCTTATACTATATTGTATTATACTATATTATAGAAACCCTAAACCCTGGCCATGTCACATCCGGGTAGACATCCGAAGCTCGCCTCCTCTTCGAGGATGGCCCGGGCTCTTCCGGACTGCGTGAGGTGATCGAGGCAGCTCTGCCTCGGGAGAGAACGCAGCCAGTAGACCAGCCATGGTGTTAGATGTAGTATCATAATGCTATTGCTATATACTTGTAGGTATTAGTACATATTCTGGTGTTGTGTGACCTATTATATGGGATAATACGGCATAATGTTGCATTTGCTTAGTATGGTAAATCGCTATGCTATATGATATTACATATTATGACTTATTGTGATACATCGGGGTCTATGACGATATACTACGATGTCGTACTACTGTTATGATGCTATATTGTATGACTAGATCACCGTGAAAAAAACAAGCTCCAGGCAGAGAAGCCATCACGCGTTGCAGCAGTCCATGGCGAAAATACCTACAAGGGGCCAGGCAGGACATCTGTGCGCATGTGAACCCGTACGTGCATTCGTAGGCCTGTGCCTTTCTACACCTATACATATACATTTGCACGTGTGTTTGTGTGAGGTTGCATACATACAAGCATATAGGTAGATCAGCACACGCGTATGTATGCAAGTGAGTGCTGTTCTGCATCATACATTATAGTACTCTCCTAATACTCTACCGCATATATCATAATATAGCACAGCTGTTCCGCACGCCCGGCCCGGCCTAGGAATGGCATGCAGCCAGTTCCGCTTCCAAAGATTCCGAAGGCGAGTTCCAACTAGCCTCCAGCTGCGGCTTTCTGGGGTTTCAGAACATAGAGGACCCCAGTACAACCGTTCCAGATCCACGCTGTTTGCAAAGTGAAGCTCTGTGGCGTCGGCTTGCAAGTAGAAGCGCTTTGCAAAGCCTCAATGTCTGCCTGGCCATGCAAGGACGCTCAAACGCTTCCCACCTGGGGCTGGAGCAGTGCTGCCAATAAGATTTGGTTACACTTCGGCACCTGTGAACGTGACCTTGAACACGGAGATGCTTCAACAGCAACTGGCTGATCCCTTGCTGACACTGCTGTCGTCTCACCTTGAAAGACCGGATCCCCTGGGCTGCTGAGGCTCCCGAGACATCCCCGGAAGCAACCGCCCAGGGGCCTGGACCGAGGCATCTGTTACCTTGCCCAGGGAAGTGTCCTCGGCTGCTGGCTTTTTTCAGAAGTTCCTAGGATCTCAAGCCTGGTAAAAGGTTGCGGGAGAATTCAGACCCTTAGCGCACAAACCGAGAGGTTTCCATGCAGCCTCGACAGCAACCCCACAACTCACTTGAGCCAGGCGTCGTGGGCACAAGCCTCGCAAAGGTCGAAGCCTGTGACGGAGCAGTGAAAGCGCGAGTTGTACATGGTCGTCTGGTGAAAATCCTGGCAGGGCACTGGCTTACTCAAACAGCGTGGCAGAGATGCAGCAACGTTGCTTGTGGTGTAGCCTACCACCTTTCAGGGGATGTGGGACTTTACATCGTATGATGGAAGCAGGCAAGATCCGTCGTTTGCACTGAGCTACGGTTCCTACCTCTCTCTAGGCTGAACCTGATGACTACGAGCCTGACTCCTCTCCTCTTTGCTTCCACCCAACACTGTGCTGATGATGCTCCATGTCCCGGCGCACAAATGACAGCCTGCCTCGAAATTGCTTAGGCTAAGGCTAGTTCTTCCCTGGACTGGCACAGTTGTGCTTCACCCAATCTGTGTGAATCGTTCTGGCAACAGATACTGGCCGGGCTCGCCGTCAGACTAGCACGGCATCCGCCCGTGAAGTCCCGGCCGTCACAAACCTCAAGGCCCATGCGTGTCACATGCAAATGTCTTGCTCTGAGCTGCTCCCCAATCCGGCACCGAAGGATTTCAGATCCTGTATAAAGTAGTATACTGTAAACGATGTTACGAAATGACACGGTGCAGTATAACATACCTTATGACTATGAAAACCCATACCCTGCTTTCAATAGAAACATACCACAACATGATGTCGAGTTGGGACAGCATGTCTGAAGACCGCAACATGCTCGAGGCAACGGCCCAGCCGCCCGAAGAGAACGTCCGCTGCAACGGGCGGGCATGGACCCACGCCTGACGGTTTAGGGTTTAAGGGGCTTTGAGGGTTTAGGATTCTGAGGCTGGGGCTGTTAAGGTGTAGAGGTTTAGGGCACTAATGGGCACTCTCTCATGAGGTATGGGTACCAAAAAGGTTTTATAAGGGCTTAAGGTTCAGGGGTGTTCAAGAGTTGTAGTGCTTTGGAGTTCAGAACTCTGCATCCTCCGTAATCTGCATCCTGCTGGTCATATGAGGACCACGTGTGATGAAGACAGAGCAATCAGAGCGTTTTCTCCGGGCTGCAGCTGGGATCGAAGCACGACCCCCACATGCTGAGAACACTTTCCTGTCACTCAGTTTGATGTCAGTAGAAATAGCATGTAATGTGGCGCTGAGACGGGGCCCAGAAAGGGACCCGAAACTTGGAACAACCCTCTCACACCCTGCGTACAAGCCTTATAAGACTGAAAGACTCATACCCCCGAGCTGGAAATTAACTTCAATTTTGGCTCGCTGGGTGTGGGCCTGCTGCACACGCCGTCGCATCCAGGGCCCGACTGGCACCTCGCAGGGCAGTTCCAAACCCCAAACCAGGCCCAGGGTCGTTTTTGTTGCGGACTCTTTCCTCTTTTTGGGGGGCGTCTGTGGCAGGTTCAGAGTACAGGGTTTAGGCATTGGGGTTTAGAGGTTAGGCTGAGGCCAGCCCTGCTATGCCCTACACCGCCAGCGAAGAACTGTCTTCACAGGGCAGTTCTTGAGCGACGTAGGGGATTGCGTGCCTGATGCCGACCACAGCGCCCGAAGTGGCCGACGAGGCCGATCATGCCCACATCCACGTTGACCTCCCCGAGAGCGCTAGCCAAGACCCAATGCAGCACGGGATGACCTGGACTCCTTCATCCTCTCCCTGCGACTGCTTGAACCGCCGGGGATTCCTTGGTTTGGCCTGAAGAGACCTGACAAAGATCGCCTCATTACATCCGTCAACCTCTATCCGACAAGAAGTTTTCAATTCCGAACTCGATCTCCCAGGCGGTGACGGCACCGCTCTCACGAGGGGATGTTGCAAACTACCCTGTCAGATTGACAAACCCTCAGCCTTGATCTCTAAACCCTAAAGCCGAAACCCTAAACCATCCTAAATCCCGAAGCCTCAGCTGTCACCCCTCGCAGCGCTCACCGCTAAACCCCCTAGACCTTCCGAAGGTGAACGACCTGCTCCTCGGCGAAGTGAGTGTCCAGGAAGCGAACGATCACATAACGGCCTTCTTGCCACCTTCTTGGGGTTTGGCGGTTTAGGGCCTTGGAGTTTGGGGATTAGGTTTTAGGGCTTTGTGGTTTTGTTTGAGGGTTTAATTTGCGGACTCGGGCCATGGCACAAAAACAAGAAGCAACAGCCGCCCGGGCTCTTGTAATGTAGACCCGCGATGAATACACCCTGAGGACTATGATCGGGATCCACAGATCAAAGGGCGGGGCGTTTAGGAACCCTCAAACCCCAAACTCCCCAAAACTCAAAACCCTGAAAGTTTCAGACCATAAACTCCTAAACCCCCAAACCCTAACCCCCCGTAACTTCTGGCAGCGGCTTTCCGCTGGGCCTCTGCAGTTCCACCTCCGCCTCGCGGGACTCCACGTCCGTCTGGAAGCGAAGGATGGGCCTCAGAGTCTTGGGAGAGCGAGCAAATAGAAAGTGTACGAGAAACAGTTATTATTTCATATTCAGATACCAAAAACAGATACACAAGCCATACGTAACACACGGACATTCGTAGATGCACATATGTAGATGCATTCCTACAGATTGATGTACCTATCACAGCAAGTCTGGGAAGGTCCAGCGGCAAAGCTGCAAAGCAAGGAAACCACCCGAGCCGTCAGCGGATGGGGGTCCCAAGTCGATGACGACTCATTTGTACAACTGCCACCTCGGTCCTTCTGTGACGAGCAATGGCAAACTGTTTCGGAGAGTGCGGGAAACTAGCGAAGCCGCAATGTGAGGCATAGCGGACCTGCCTCATCCATCGGTTGGTGACTTTCCAGCTCATCTGGTCTCAAATCGTCGTAGACGTCTGTGATTTCCAAATCCTCAGCCACACGAAGAGCTGAAGCTTCTGTTTCTTGGTCTGGCGGGAAGATGGACTAAATCCAGCCTTCGGCAAGTCGCTGCAGACCCAGACCAGCCCGCTCCTGCCAGGCTCGCTTCACGCAGAGGCCGGGCTTTGGTGGCTTTGGGATGGGTCGCAGGGTGGGAGACGGGTGCTGCACCCGAGAAATGCTGCACTGCATGGTCGGCGCCTTGATGCTTGTCGCCAGGGCCTAGGCCTAATTACGCCTGGTCTCGACTGCAGGGGCCCGCCTGATTGGTTCCGTGCATCTGGGCCCAGGTCCACTGATGTAGAAGTGGGTCAAGGTGAAGTCCTGCAGGGCGACAAAGCCAGACACATGGATACACCTGCGATTCCATGCAACCGGTCCTCTGAGCATTTCAGAACGAGGTTGAACTTGCAACCCCTGCATACAGCACAAGACTTCCGAAAGGCAGCTCGGGATCTTCCGTAATGGCCTGTCCGAGCAGTGGAAGGGCTCCAAGGTCGGTATCAACACCTTTGGAGAACCGTGAACTCTCACAGCAAGGTCGTTCGCACCCAGATGAATTTCATTCAAGCGGCATGCTTGACATCATATTGACTGCCTGAGTGAGCTGTGCCCACAGCTAACGATGGCTTCTTTCGCTACTACGGGCTGGTGCAAGATGCTGGAAAGGAAGGACGTGCTGGCCAGGCACGGCTTTGCTGCGAGCCGCCATCATATGAGTGAACGACAAATTTCTCCTGGCCGCCATCGTCTTTGCTTGCCGCTGCACTCTCTGGTGCTTGCATATTCTATAGACACGCCAGGCTGGCGTTCAAGAGAACTGGCGCGATGCCTGAAAATGGAGATCTTGGATCCTTGCGGCAGTACGGTGGCAAAGTCAGCTGTTCGCATGGCATATTAGATTCGCACGCGACATCTGAGCAACCCACGTCGGCGTCATCCGGTAAGGAGACAGGCCTTACTCATCGTCTGTTCGGCTAACGTATCACCAGGCTAATCCGGCCGGGCTCCGTGCATCAAATTCGAAAGCCTCTGAGAGGCGCGAGGTCAGTCGGCGGATGCGTGGGGTCGGCACACTTACCGACTGGATACTTCAAGTAAGGCCACTGCGAGGAACCTTTGACGTCGCAGCGTGTGTCCAAGCAAATGTGGCCGCACGGTGGGCTCTGGTCCGAAACAAAAAGAACTGTTTATACGAGAATGCAGCAGGTGATTGGCATTGCTGTCCCGATTCTGCGATGGATAAGTGTCCGTTCCCTGCCGTCTGTCTGTGGAGCTCACCTCAGATTTCCGTCGCGCACCAGATCTTTTGCTGGCTCCTCTTTCACTCCCGAAATCAATCCGAGCTGCCGTGGGCTAATGGCCCGAGTTCCACGGACCCGTCCCTAGGGGCTGAGCCAAGACACGCAGGCATGGCTGCTCAGTCTCATCATCTCTTATCTCTTTCTTCTTCTCTTGGGTGGCTATGGTCGTAGCAGCACAAAGGCTCCCTTGCCTTGCAACTCAACTGGCAAGAACAGCAGTCGGCAGAGGAGCACAACAAGCAGAGGCTCACTTAGATCCGGTGTTTGTCAAAGAGGCAGCATAAGAGTCAACTGGCAGCCTGCAATAATTCGCTTAGACCACTGTTTGTAGCAAAGGACGCAGCAGACTGGCTCTTAGCATTTTCGCCCTCAATCGAAAGCATTGCGCGAACAACAAGCTGCTCACTGCCGACGAACAACTGCAGAACCTGTCAGGTCGCAGAGATGCTTGCTCTTCGCACGACACTATGCAAGCACCCGTCTGGCCTTTGCCCACTCTGGCTTTTCCTTTCCCTTTTGCAGCTTGTTGTCCTTACCGTCAACAACAGAACAAAACTTGCCGTGGTCCTCAAGAGCGACACTTAACAACTGTTGTCACATGTATATTATGTGTCCAACTATATAACTATATGTTGTATGCGTATGTATGTATGTATGTATGCATGTATGTATGCATGTGTATGTGTNNGCATGTGTGTATGTATGTATGCATGTATGTATGTATGTATGGATGGATGGATGGATGGATGTATGTATGTATGTATGTCTGTATGTGTGCATGTGTGTGTATGTATGTATGTATGTATGTACGTAGGTATGTATGTATGCATGCATGTATGCATGTGTGCATGTGTGTATGTGTATGTGTATGTGTATGTGTGTATGCGTGTATGTGTGTATGTGTGTATGTATGTATGTATGCATGCATGTATGTATGTATGTATGTATGTATGTATGTATTGGGTGCTGTACGAGTAAGTGTTTGTGTAATATATACATATGTATTACCCATATCTACCTATACCTAGACATGTTGCATGTAAGTGTTCGGGTTTGTATGTGGTCTCTTACAATTCCAAGCCCCGGAGCCCGCGCTTCGTCCGACGCTTGCACTCCGAAAGATTCGCGGACCGTCTCCAGGCTCCCGAGCCGGCGCCTGTTTCACTTGCACTTCGAGCTACTCCTACTACTCTTCCTCCTTCTCCTGCAACTCTGACTCCTAGAAATGATTGTAACGATGATGCTGGCATAGTGACGACGATGACAATGACAACGACGATGATAACGACGCTGAGACTTCTCAACTTTTCTATTGTTTCCAGCATGCGTGTTAAAGTCTGTACATGTCTGTACTACTTTATTTTGACGAATCACCTTCCAATTTCTGCCGCTGCTTTCCTAGCTATGAATAATTCTTGCTACTGGTCCCTTATGCTGGTCCACGGGCCCACCCTTCAAAGGCAGAGACGAAAAAATGAAACATGTATGGTGGACGCACAACACAAACACTAAACATCGCTAAATTAATGACGGTACGGTCGCTGGCACATCCAAGCCCCACCCAGCGCAGCATTCATTAGCTGTTCGTGAGATTTCGCAGACACAGTCCCTGTTAGCCCGGAGGTCTTTATCAATTTTCACTAGCCAATCTCCAAGGTGCTTCGGGCGGGGCGGTTGAAATTGTGCAACCCCGTTCCCTAAGCAGGGGCCTCCCAGCAGAAACGGCATCGGAAACAGCTTCGTTAGGCAAGCAACGAAACAGTCACTTTACGAGCAAACATCTTGCGATGTTTTTTGCTTTAGCGAAAGACATCTGATGGTCACTGTCGTACCTTGTACCTCTGCAGGAGTGCATCTCCTACCTTATTCATCTTAGAAGTGCCTGCAGCCCTGTCACAGGCCTGTGGGCGCCCCACGGAAGCTGGCCGCAGCTTCGGTTTTGGCTTTGCCGCTGGCTTTGAAGCGGGCTTCGGCACCGACTTCGGCGCCAACTTTTGATTCGGCAGCGGCTTGGGCTCTGCGGGCTCCAGGCGTTCGCCTCTCTCGGCACGCTCGGCTCGCTCGCGGGCCTCAGGGGCTGGGACGCACGATGCAGTCTGTTTCACTGGATGCTCTGCCGGGGACAGACGTTAGCTGGCAGGGTTCCAGACCATGCGGGCAGCAGCGCTTCCGCCCGGCTTTAGGTGCTCCGCGAACATCTCCTGCGACGGAGCACATCGCACCGAGCTGAAGCACGAATGCACCTGACACTGACATAACGCAAAAGCCGCTAAAGTTCTTCACATCAAAGGCTCGCTCCTGCAGGTGCAGGATGGCCAAGGCATTCCCAGACCTAGGTCGGCTATCGTTCTGCCGTGCAGCAGTTCTAGAAACCGGGGGTACCGGCCTTGTACCGGCAATAGTCATCTGGTGCACCTCAGCGAGCACAGAAAGAGGCTGCCTCGTTCTCGCGAAAGACGTTTACTTCTGAGGCCCACGCTCCAGATGTTCGGCCTCCCAACACGTGAACTTCGATTTGAGACCTTCAGGATGCGGCGAGTCTACGGCCTATGCACACCGGAAGGCCGCGCCGAGTCCGCTGCCCGGTCTGTTGCTCCAGTTTTCGGAGTCGTGACTGAGCCACCTCCAAGCCCACAGCAGTTGGTTGAGCGTTGGTCTGCAGACAACTCTGCTGATACCGGTACCGTTCCGATGAATTCGAAGGATCCCTCTTTTTGTCTTCTGTTGTTGCTCCTAAGAGGAGCTTGCTTGCCATGCAACTACACCGGAGGCGAAAACGCCGGCGAGCAGCCCGAAATAGAGCACAATGTGACCCAACCAGGCCCCGCATGGCAGGCGCTCGCTCTTCTTCGTCGCCACACGCACGTAGAAAGCCCCAGGATAGCAGTAGCTGACCAGGCCTCCGCAGAAGCCTCCTGTGAGACCGAAGACAACCGAGAGGTCTGGCAAGATGATCCCGGCAGAGACCGTGCTCACGACGATGGCAATCACTAGAGTCTGGCGCACGACGGCGCTCGGCTCGGGGGGTGGACTCCGATGAGCCTTGGGCTGGAAGTCTGAAGCCTCCCGGAGGTTGGACTCCTGGGGCCACTGGTACGGGGTGGAAAATACCTTGGGTGAGGTCTCCTCGTCAAAGGCAGCAGAGGGGCTGCTGGCCTCGAAGCGGGCGTAGACTTCATCCTCGGGCTTGAAGAACGACCAGAATTCCCAGAACAATCGGTAGATGGAAGCAACGCAGCTGAAGGCCATCACAGGGTAAGAAGTGAACATAACCAGTGAGTATGCCGCCTTCACATAGGGGGCTAACGGAAAATTCCAACTTTGCAGATTCGTCAGGATGTCTGGCTTTGTTTGACCTCTGAAGGCTCCATATCCATAGAGCGCAACGAGGGAATACGCCAGAAAGCAGAGGCCGAAACTCCAGTAGGTGGCCCACATCATCTTCTCCCGTTTGGTATTGAACTTGCTGTCGATATGCTCATGTTTCTGCGCACGCAGCTCGCTATAAAAGATGGGCACATTCATGTTACAGGTATAAGCAAATATTAGGACCGGGAGCTGCGTCATGAAACCCGTGGTGCTTTCACAACCATACCTGAGCTGCTCAGGCGCCTGCATCTCGTGAGTCTGCTCCCCAAGTGCCACGAGCGAGACTGTGAGGAGCGCGATCATCAAGAGGCAGACAAGAGACGCATGCCTTAAGTGTCCCATGCTGGGCATGGAGCTCAGAGGCCACAGTACGAAAATTCCGCAGGCGACGAGAAGAACGGTTCGCTGCTGGAGGACGGCAGGAGCACCAATGAAGTGCATGAAAGCTGGCAATATGTCCCCCAAAATCATAACATAAGACACCAAAACTCCGATGTTATACAGAGCAATGGTCGAATCAATGCAGACTGCCGCTGCCTGCCCGAAGAGGACGTTTCCGACCTCTGCATATGACTTTTGCCGCACCTCTTCCATTGCGATCAGAAGCATCCACGCGGAGACGATGCCTAATGCGGCCATGGCTATCAGCAGAAGACTGCCCATCACCAGCCCGAGCTTGGCCATTGCGAAGGGCAAGCCCAAGATCCCTCCACCAATGATCGTATTGGAGAGGTTGAAGATCGTGGCCCGAAAGCCTCAACAAAAAATCAAGGGCCCCCAACACTGAGCTCAAACTCAACTAGAAGCAACAACGTTGGAACATCCTCATGCCTCATGCTCTTATTATGCCCTTGAGGGCTCACTAGTAGGCCTACTCAGCCCACTCCCGCAGCTTGGCGGCCGATGCCCTCCGTGAGCTTCAGCAGGTTGCCGAAGCCTTCTGGGTGTGCCGTCAGCTTCAGGGACTCTTCGCTGCGACTCTCCAGGAGCGCCATGGCCGAAGGAAGTTACTGAAGTTAAGCTTCACGTCCTGTCTCCTTTTCTCTTTTCTCTGTCACTGGCATGTCGTTTTGTTGGAGGCTGGCTTTGGATCTTACGACCGTCTCTGGGCTCGGCTGTTGGCTGGCTCTGCCGATGACCTCAAGCTGTCACGCATCCATGCGCATGACGGCGCAACGCCTGCGCCGGAACTGCTGTGAGAGGTGGCAGATAAGAGACGGTTGCGCGAGCATCCCCAAGCGCACGCAAGAGCTTGCCTCAGGCAACGAACGCTAAATCAAGATGGCCTGTCCTGTCGCATCCCTAATCGCCATAACAACCGCAAGCCCCCCCCCCCCCTCTCCCCTCCCCCAACACCCTGTTCACTGCATCCGCAGGGAGGAGCAACGTCAGGCTCGCCTTCCCAAAGCTGGATTTGCAGGCAGGGGGGGAGAGTAGCTGGGACTCCTCGGGTCCCTCTAAGGGGACGGATCCTCTTAGGGTTTCGTTAAGAGTTCCTTTTCGGGGTTTCATTAAAGGTCCGTTCTGGAGGTGCAGTACAGTTCGTGAATTCTGATGTCATCTGTCTGAATTTGTCTGACACTTGTGTACGTACTGGTCTGCCGTGTAATCCGAAGACTTTTCAGCGACGTTGCAGTGCCGGCATTGATTTTGAATGACGTGCTGGTTTGGCAATATGCCGATGCGGCTTGACGATACGTAATACGACTTGATGCAGCTTAGAGTGACAACTCTGTCTTCTTGACACGTTATGTTTTGCTGCGTTTTACGGTCGAAGCGGTCTTTGACCTGCTGACATCCTTTCAAGCCCAAACCCTGTGGGCACTACATGCAGCCTTCCGGCATTCCCTAGGCCTAAAATACAAAAAACCCTAAGACCCTAAAGTAACCTTGTAGCCACGCTTTCAATTACCTTAAACCCCGAAGCCAGGGGAATCAAAGACCCGAGGAGGCCTCGGACTGGTCCGACTCTACAAGGAGCGCCTGCGAAGAGGGTTGAGAAGGGTTTCTTCGGAGTTCAAGGTGAATTTTTTTGGAAAAGGGCTTCGGGGTGAGGACAAGCATTTCCCGGAAAAATGATGACATCGGCATCGTCAGCGCGATCCCTCGAGCTCTGTTGCTGCACTGCTGCGACGTGGACGCTGATTGGGATCTGAGGTTTCAAGTTTCACGCGCACACTCTTATTAAAAGCTACGGGTTGAGCGGCCTGCCGTTCGTGTGCAAAATGCCGTGAGCTACCGAGGTTCCAGCCACGCTCCGAGGAAGAAGTCCAGCGAAGTGTTGATGAATGGATGCCGCGTGTGCATTCTCGCGGGCACATCTTCTTCGTTGCGGTCCATCCTGGAGACCGTGGCACGATTTACGGACGTGTTGCCTTTGGCACGGCGATATCAAGGCCGCCAAAGACACGAAGCATGCGGCGATCAGGCTGATCTGGCCGGGCGAGGAAGGGGCACTATGCACAACCTATGTATCCCGAATCTTGATATTCCTCTTCTTTACCGATGGCTCATCGTTTGCGAAGAGGAATATTAGGATCCGAGGTACAAAGGTTATGCAGAGATGACATGCGCTGCGATAACGAGCTCACTTTTGGCCTCCGGGTTTGGGGGGTCATAGCTAAGGCTTCAGGATTCTGCGGCCGTGCAAGTTCCTGAGGCATCTGTAAGTACTCACCTCGCTTTTCTGATTGCGTTCTTCGGCTGTGCCCCGAAGGGCCACATAGAAGCAATCAGACAAGGGAGAAGATACTATCTACTGCGTCATTGCTGCCAATGCCTCGACCAGCTGGTCTCGGCCAACACTGCCAAACATGTCAAAGATGGATTCATTCGTGTGTTGGCAACTCCACCCAGAAGAGAAGATGCAGACCCCTTCTGGATGTTTTACCCCAGAGGCGGTGCAGCCCGAAACCGGCGTGGCAAACAGGCCTGGCCTTTGGGCTGGGTGTCGCATGTTAGCTGGATTGGGGAAAGCGCCGCTGAGAAACCCATGTCGTCGAACTCTAGGACTCTAGCTGGAAGAACAAGGCTTTCCACCTCGCATGACTAAGGAGCTCGTGCATGCGAACAGGCTTGAGCCACCAGGCAAAGGGATGGATTCAGGCTGCAGACACCTAAACATCCTTGAAGCCACTCCTTCCCTGCAGGGCCTTCAACTGCTCGGTATCATTCCGAGGCTTGGGCGCAGCGCCGGTGACCTTATCCAGCTATGAGTTTCAGGCATTCAGGCGATACATGTTCGCTTAGGGAAGCAAGCAATGCACTCAAGCTACTTGCACGGTGCGCTGAATGCTCGAATGCTCTCAACATGAGATCCGTTTTCGGCGAACGTGATGCTCGATTGGAAGCTGATCGGAAATCTGACGCTCCAGCTGACATCTTGACTGTACCCTCTCGAAAATCAGCTGCTCCATGTCATGTTGCATGGAGGTTCGGTCTATGTACTGTCGAAGCGAAAATGGACACGAAGATAATAACGGCAAAAGGAGTCCAGAAGGCTTCGCAAACATGCTGTGCACAGCTACGGCACTTGCGCGAATGGACTTTGGAACCTGGCGATCTGAAGCATAATCGCTAGTCAAGTGCCCGGGTCACGCTCGTCTTGCACGCTGATTCGCGCTCGATGCAACACTGCAGCTACGGCAGTTGGTGGCTAACTGCTTTTTTGCTGAAGCCCAACCTCCAGCACAAATGTCATTCCGGCCATGCTAGCAACCTAAAGGGCCAAGTTGTGAAGGCGGAACGTGACGATCTTGTGTAAGCTTTTCAAACCAGGTTATGCGCTGGATGCCAGTGATTCCAAGCAACGGCCTCAAGCTCGATCGCTTGGAAATCGGTCGAGTACTCAAGTAGAGCATTATCTTCTTTCAGCATCAGACACATCGCTAGCTAGAAGCCATTCTGGCGCGTGCCTGCCTGTGCACATGTAAAGGCTGGCTGTAAGTGGCTTGTCTCGGCAGCAAGGTCCAGCACGCGCGCTTGAAAAGCTGTTGGCGGCTACATGCTGAAGCTGCCGCGTGGAAGCAGAACACCTCAGCTGGCGATTCTTGGCTGCCTTGCCTTTCGGAGCTATCTGGCTTTCGTGGGACTCTCAGCCTCCGGCAGTCTCCGACAGTGAAGGATCCCCTGAACGGCAAATAACGAGTATCATCGGAAGTGAAGTGGCTGATCCATGATCTTATGAGATGCAATGCGGCTTGACCCGATGTGTTCTGGGCCTTAGGGGTTGTTGCCGTCACCGGAGAGCAGGGTGTCGATGGCCGCGTCCAAGCGGCCCTCGTGCTGGGCCAAGGCCCTGAGGCAAGCAGCCTGAGCACCGCACGCCGGAAACTTCTTCGGCAAAGGGGAGCCCCATGTAGCTGTTGATAGTCTCACATCGTCTCACAGCCCACCTCGTTCGTGAAGCCCATGGCAGAGAGCTGCGTCAGTTGCGACGCAAACCGCGCTCTCTGAAGCCTCGTAGCAAGGAAACTGCGAAAGGCTTCTGCGAGACGGAAGCATCACGGTACCGGGACTTATCCGAATACCAAGGCTGCACACACCACCACTGTAAGACTCTGATGGCACGTGTCTCGCACCCATACCAGGTTTGGCGACCCTTTCTTGTTATTTCATCCCGAGTATCCAGAACGACGAGGATCTTCTGGACTCGATGCGCTCTGTCAGTCTCTGATCCTTGCAATACAAACCCAAGGTCCGCATCTCAGCATCCGGCTCCGGGGTTTGTGCCGGTGCTTGTGCCAGGGGTGCCCCGGCAGCATAACCGCCTGTGCCTGGGGGCCGCAGGTGTGGCCAGGGAGTACCCAGAAAAGCACCTATTATGGGTATAGTTCTCAAAATTAGGGTCCCTTTTTGGGGTCTTTTTCCCCCCAGAGGTTTCCAGGGTTTCCGGCGGCATGTGACAGCAGTTGAACAGTGTCAAGGCAGCAGCAAACGGGAAGGATTATCATAGGGAGCTGTAGAGGCATTAAGGTACTGCGTTTCTCCTGAGCAGTCTTGGATCCAGAGCCGGCTGAAAAACTTGACAAGAGTATTAACGTTGCGGATGTATTCCTGCTGTTCCTGTCCAAGCGCCTCAGATGCCTGGACCATGACTCCACCGGCCCATGAGTCGTGGGAGTGAGAGATGTTGACTAAATCTTGACTAAATCCCTACAAGTAGCTTCTGTGAGAAGAAGCACCTTCAACAAAGGAGCTACCATGGACCCTGGGCCGGTGCACCGAAGCCTTAGTTAGGGTTCCGGTTTAAGGAGCACCGAGACCCCGGCCCCCAGCGAAAGGGTTCATCGCTGGATTCATCATCATGGACATCAGGGCAGGATTGCTCATCCTCGGCTGAGGGACAAGGGGGTTTAGGGTTGACGTACGGTTAGGGGTTTAGAGTTTAGAGGGTCTCTATTACAAGAAGTTAACATGCCTCCACTCGGTCTTTCGCAGAGCATCAAAGCAGATCATTACCGGGGCACAATTTGCGTAAATGGTGAAACAAACCCTTCTTTCCCCAGACCCGTTATACTATCCTCTGCAGGGCTCTCAGGGAAAGGAATCTGACATTCGTAGAACACATACAGATTCGGCCGGGCATCATCTGCTGCATCATGTTCGCGGGAGCTCCGGCAGTGCCCGCTCCCGGCCCCGTCGCCCCGGCCGTTCCCGGAGCGGTCGCGCCAGCTGTCGGTGCTGCTGGGCTGGTCATGCCACCAGGAGCCCCTGACCCGGCCAGGCCACCCATGCCCATGCCACCCAGGGCGCCCATGCCACCCAAGCCACCCAAACCCCCAAAGCCGCCCAGGCCACCTAGGCCACCCATGCCACCAAGACCACCCATGGCACCGAGGCCACCCGGTGCACCGCCTAAGGCGCCTGGCGCACCCCCCAAGGCGCCTGGCGCACCTAAGGCGCCCAAACCCGCCATGGCGCCTGCCGGGTTGGCGGCTGCAGCTGGCCTCGGAAAAAAACGACGAAGAGGCTCACAACGGCTGTCAGTTTTTCGCGTCTGGGTTTCCGGGCGCCGGGGTAGCCGCCGGGGTGTTCGCGGCCGGCGTCGGGCCCCACGGGTTGGGCAGCGCCTGCCCGCACATCCCACAGCGAACCCCTTGCAACCTGTCGCGCAGCGCCGGGATCGGCCTCACTGCTGGGTCCGGAGCTGGTGTCCTGCGAGTAGTCGACCCTCGGTCGCCAAACGCAAGAACCGCGACGGCGGCAACATCTCAGAGGTTGCTGGAGGAAGCTGGAGGTACTTGACGTTCTCGGCTCGCGGCGCTGTCGCGTTCCCGCCGCTGGCGCTGCTGCCTCCTGGAATGAGCGGTGGGGGCGAGGTCTGCAGGTACGTATGGTACAGGGGCGCGCGTGGTCGCTGGCCTCCCGACATGGCCTCAAAGAGCGGGTCCGCAAACTCCTCGTGAGCTCGCACCTGCGCCCAAACAGAACCAGAACGAGAGAGCAACCGCGTGCAACCGCGGCGGAAGCCCCCCCCCCCGGCCAGCGCGTTGTGACCACCCGGCATGGCATCGAGCTGGCCCAAGGCGCGATCTGCATTCCTGGACACTGTAGGATCGCTCCCTGTTCACCCCCACTCGTGTGTGGGCAGTCCTGGTCATTTCTCGCATCAGCGACGGATTCGCAACCATGCGCATGGACTGCTGGAGCAACTGCACGGGCGTGGGCAGATGCAGTTGAAAGGTCTTGAGCTGGCGCTCGCGACGACCGTCTGTGCCTCCGGATCCTCCAGCATCCTGGCGATCCTCAGCATTGCTTTCGTCACTGTACAGGGAAGCCAGCTCCCGGCTGTTCCCGGCTGCTCCCGGTCGCGTCTGTTTAGCCTGGGCTCTCCGGTCGCTGCTCCATGAGCTCGTTGAGCTGCGGGTTCATGCGAACCATCGTCCTGCGGCCGCGGTGAGGCAGGGGAATTCCGGGCCAGGCGGTTTTCCGGAGCCTCAAAACCTCCGGGTTGCTCATCATCTGCTGAACCATGGGCGAGTTCATCAGCTGCTGCCTCGGCCGACAGGATGCTTGCCCCACCCCTTTCACTGCACACAGCCCGTCATCAGCCCCCAGCATCATCTCTGGATTCTGCATCATCTGCTGTTGAGTCTGCGCCTCGGCACGCACTGCACTCGAGAAGGGCGCAAGGCGCAAGGCGCAACCCTCGACGCAACATCTGCGAAGAACCGTGACCTCCTTCCGCGGCGCTTGGGAAGCTCTGGCCTTCTGGAGTCTGAGCTATCGGCCATCATCTGGGAGAAGGGATCGCCTGCTTCCAACCAAGGCTTCAGAGCAACCCAGGGCCAGACCGCAATGTGAGGTCCTGAACAAAACCCCAAGGGATCCCGGGGGTGTCCCAGGACCTCCAGGACCTCGGGCCGGTTTCTTCTCATTCAGTTCTGGCTCACGCACCTTTTATCTGCACGCTGCTGGGGAATTCCAATGTGAAGAGTCCTGTTCTGTGGCAGGCTATTGGGAGTTTTTTTTTTGGGGGGGGGACTACAATTTGCATCAAGTTGCAAGGGCATGCAACGAAGCATTCCAAGTCGTGGGGTCCTGCTTTGAGTCAAACTTAGGTCCAGTGATGTGTCAAGCTATTGGAGAGGGGCTCAGCGCGCTTTGGCTGTGAAGTTTCGTGGCACAGGGCTGCCTCAGAGGCTTGTTTAGAAGGCGTGGCCCTGCCCCACTGCTCCCCGTGCCTTGTTGATTCTTGCTTCTGGAAGGGTTTGCGTTTACGCTTATGGTTTCCTTTCTTTGATTCTATACCTTGCTGTTGCCTTTGCTTGTATGCTATTTTTTTTGTATTTTGTATGGTGTTGCGTTTGGTCCTTGGTCTCTGATATCACTTCGAATGTTCTGCGTTTGCTTGCTTCCTGTTTGCTCCTTGCTCTCTGTTCTGGATGAAGCTATAGCGGTTGCAAGGTTTTGCGCATCAAGCCATTGTCATGTTGCAGGGTCCTGCTTTGCATCAAAGTATTGGGGACTCGAACCAGGGCCCTGCAACTTGTAATTCCCCATGACCCTTTGCTTTGATGCAAAACAGGCCCCTGCTAACTGTCCATGAACATGCGACGACTTGTCTACGCTGCAGATTGCGGCGGCCGCACCTGAGTTGGCCTGCGGCGCGGGTGCCGCGCCCATCATCTGCGCCATGGGGTTCGCCGGAGCCTGGGCGGGCTCTGTGGTTTGGCCTCGAAGATCGTGGCTAGGGTGTCGGGGCGGAATTGGAACTGAAGCCCCCGGCCAACGACTGGCTGGCGACTGGGGGGGCTTCCCTTTGCCTCGGCAGCTCAGGGCATTTTGCAGGTGAGGGCCGCCAGCGTCACGCAGCGCAAGCATGCCGTCTCTGATCAAGAGCGGCGACGGCGCAGGGCGTAGCGACGACATCTCCGAGGGCCACGCGGATTGTTCAGACAGTGCACCACGACTCCGTCTTTCGGCTCGTAAGACCCGACGGTCTGGGTGTCCTGCACGGTGCTGCAGCATGGAGCAGCCCTGCGGCCCCCTGCGGCCCTGCGGTGCGGTGATTCCTGGCCTGCCAGATGCGGCCGATGCACACCAGCCGAATGTTCTTCGCTGGGATGTTGACTTGTGCGGAAACCTCGCATGCCCCAAACAGATGCGTCTCAAGTCTCCGCTCTGTTGCCATGCATCCAGCCTTCTCCTTCAGCTCCTCTACGGTAGCTGTGGTGTCAATGCTGACCTGAAACTCGCCCGCGTTGGCGCCAGCAGGCGCCTTGGCAGCGACGGATGCAATCCTGCAATCGCCAAGTCGTGCAGCCTGGCCTGGACGGGCTTGATCGTCAGATTGACAGAGGCCATGCCTGGAGAAAGAGATGGCCCATCTTTGCCCCACCCACGTGATCCCCCATACTCCACACTTCCGCCCGGCTTCTGAGGCAGGGGCCCCGCGGGCGGCAAAGAAATCGAATTGAAAGGAGAGGCTGGAAGTGAACAAGCTGCGACATGCGCCGTGATATCACATGACAGTCCATGACAGGCTCTCTCTCATTAGCGATGGCGGATCACATGCGATGCATGTGGGCTCAAAAATACTGAGTGCAGAGTTACAGAGGTATGAAAAAGGCGGAGAGTTCCGCAGACACGGCTGCAGCACTAATTCTCTGAGAGTTTCTATGCGCCGCACTTCGGCTATCCGACCAGCCACCATCTGAGCTGCCTCGACAATCACCTGTGCAGGTGAGAGGCTCGGAGCTTGTGTCTCCGGTGTATGCCTCCTTGCTTCCTGCATTAGGCGCCTCGACCTCACCACTGATCACCAGCAGCTGCTCCGCTCCTGCTCGCAAAGGGCAACGGGGCGACAGCGCTGAGAATGGAGCACCAGCACACCAGCACGATAAGAAAGGTCACGTCACGTATCCAGCGGTCTCCTGCGTTCAGCTGGGCCAAGTCCATCTCGGCACCCGAGCTGCGCCGGAGCTCCTTGATGGCCTCCACAGTGCAAGCATGTGCAAGCACACGAATGGATCTAGGCGATCGGCTCACCGCGCAGACCTCGCCGCGCCGGCCGATGATGTATCCGGCCGTGCCTTTCCCCGATCACCCTCTGCACAGCAAGATTTCGATCCTGTCAACGTGACTGGGCACCTGCCGGCAGCACTATCCTGGGAAGTAGCACAATCGGGACTGCAGAAAGAACATTCTCCACTCCATCATACCAGCCTACCTGATGGACTCTGTCCATCCGTCTGGGAGGGTTGATGCCTCCAAAGCTTTTCATGCAAGCTTGCCCCACCCAAAGGAGCGAGCGGCCTGTTCCACCACCATCTCAATGGCGCTCATCAGCGCCTCAGAACTTATTCACTTCGGGCCTTACCTGGAAATTATTTGGTGCATAGACATGCATGTCCGCCTGCTCTGCACCGCGGATGTCAATCACACGGTAGCGTGCACCCTCCTTGGAGACCTGTGCAGACTTTCGAAAAATTCCTGCCGGCCTCTGTGAAAGCTTGCGACATGCTGTCGAACTGCAACTGCACATCGGACTGGGCAAGAGACATCAATGCTAGCTCCACTTTGGGCTCGTATTGCATTGATGGACCTTTGGAGAAGCGACTCACCGGTGCAGCTCGAGCCACTCCAGGATTGCGTGCAGCCATGAAGCTGGCCCTTGCGACCCACAATCCAGGCCGCAATAGCTGCAGGCACTGCAAACTGGAGCGACATCTGGCGCGGGACGGAAGCCTAACTGAAATCTGTGGTCACAACGTGGGCCTAACTAGCAGGCCTGTCTGCCTTTGCCCTTAGCACCGTTGATCGGAGCGGGCGCAGTGAGATGTGACAGCGACAACTTCGAAGGCTCCTTGCACGACATATACCAACTATTTCACTGAACGGTGACTCAACCGTGACAAGGAATGAAGCTGCTGCCCGCTTCTGTCGCCTTCGCTTCGCCATCTCCCCGTCCAGACCACCTCAGAGCAACAGCTCAATAGAAGTCGCAGCAGCAGTCGTCGTCGTGGCGGTGATGGCGTCGGCCACGGGGCAGTGGTGGTAGTCGTCGAGTGGTCGTAGTAGTGGTGGTAGTGGTGGTGCTGGTGGTAGTGGTGGCCGTGGTGGTCATCGTCGTCGTGGTTGTGGGGAGGCGACAGCAGTGTTGCTAATGCTGTTGTTGTTGTTGTTGCTCCTGCTGCTGTTGCTGCTGCTGTGGTTGTTGCAAGATGCTATTGGTATGGCTCTTACTGTCGCAATCACAATTTACTGGCCACCTTTCAGTACCGGTACTACACTTCCAAATTTTCTTTTACAGCTGCCACTGTTTGTCATGCTTGATGCTCACTGTACGTATCATTGACTTATCCACTCTCTACTTGTTGAGTTGCTTCTTTCAGTATGTCTACAGAGGAATGGCAACTCAGAATTGCGATTGTGAATTATGGTTGTAACGATCTTCCTGGCAAAATGGAACTCAGTCTTCACCCTATCCCGAACCTAGTTCTACGCATTCTTCGTAAGCTGAATCTTGCTACTCTTCACTCACTCTGCTCTGGTTTGAGAGCATTAAGCGGGACAGCCTTTCTGCCGTGCTTTTGGAAGAGTCAGTTTTTACTCGGGGGAGAGCATGTTGGTTGTGCCTCAGGATCCGTCAGTACTTGTGGAAGACCGCGTTGACCCATCGGTGTGCTCGGATTGCGTCAAGCGTGCAGATAGTATTGGTTGCTGCGAGCACGGTCCGGGATCCGCGAGCTTTGGCTGCAGCAGGTGGAAAGCACTTTAGCCGCGGTCCCGAAGTTTGCTCAACCCCATCCGTAGTTGGGGGTTCCATCAAACATACAGAGGTCGGTGGCTCGGGGGGGCGCGAAACGGAAACATGCTTCTGGGGACAGGATTTTTGCTGTGGCGTGTTCGCGTGTCTCCTGTGAGCCGAGATCACTGCAGACTACTGTGCATGGCCCACATAGTTTGGCAAACCCTGCATGCAAATAGAACAAATTTTGGGTGTGTTTCTAAATACCATCCGTCTGTGGGTTTTTGGGCTACTAAATCCACCACCGTTTGGGGCAAAACAGAAATACGGCCTCGAGGCCCATCAGGATGTCCGCGCGAGTGGCCGCAGGCTAGCCAGGTCGTAGTAGTACCAGTCGTAGTCGCAAGAGTAATACCTGTAGTGGTAATGGTAGTGGTAGTAGTAGTAAGTAGTTAGTGGTCAAGTTAGTAGTTAGTAGATAGTAGTAAGTAGAAAGTAGTTAGTAGTAGCAGCGAAAGTACTACTACCAGTAGAAATACTAGTACGAGTACCAGCAGTAGCGACAATAGTAGTGGTAGTAGTAGTCGTCGTCGTCGTCTTAATCGTAGTCGCGACTGCCTACAGATACAGAGATACATACATGCATACAGTCATACATGTATGCTTGTGTACATATATAATATATAGATTTTCTGTGTATATATATATATAGAGGGTGCGTCG